AATGGGGATTGAACTCAGGCCCATGCGCTTGCCAGGGAAGCGCTTAAAGACATTTAAAAGTTGCGGATTTGCATTTCCTTCATAATTACTAATCATTGAATACCTTTTCCTGTACCTCTTGGTCAGTTTTATGCCTGATTTAGAAAAATGCCTGCATAGATCCTTTGCCCATTTCATGATTAAATTATTTATAGTTTCCTTCTCATTGAGCTATATGTGTTTCTGAATTTTTTTTTTTTTTAATTTTTTAATGGATACAAGTCTCACTATGCAGCTCCTACTCTTAGTGAATCTCCTGTTTCAGACTTTTACTGATCCTCCTGTTTCAGCGCTGGGATTACAGGTGTGTGCCTCCAGGCCTGGTCTTGGTGGCAGGCTGGGTGGCCCCGGGTGGGACCAGCATAGCATGTGGTACCAGGAATCAAAAGCAAGTCCTTGAGCTTGCCTAGGCAGGTGCTTACACCCCTGAGCTATCTCTGCCACCCTCTGAAATATTTTTAACATTAACCACTTAATAGTTCATGAGTATTTTCTCCCTTTTCTTCTTGTTATACTGAAGCTTTTCAGTTCCTCAGAGTCCGACTTGTTTTTGCTTTTCTTCTCTGTGTGTTAGATATCATATCCAAAACTTCATCACCAGCTAAAGTGGCCTGTGTGCTTCAACCAAAGGAACTGCTATTGTTCAGAAAACTGAAAACAGGCTTTGCTGCATCTCCATCAACTGTAATACTGCTTTGTGTTCCAGAAGCAAAAGTCTGTGTTATAGTCAGAGCGTGCAAGGGAAATAATTAAATGCAGGACACATCATTTATAGAATTATTTTATAGTATTCACCCAAAGACTCAAATGTAAAAGAGTTTGGGCCATCTGTCCACACACCAGAGACTAAAAGTCTCTAGAAGACAGAGAACAGGGATAACACAGCCAGTAGAGGCAGGGTCCGTACATAGTGGTTTCTCAGCCACACGTGGCACACATCTGTTGTCTTCTCCATCATTAGAAACTCACAGAACAAACCTAATATAAGACAATAAAGTGAGAATCTTTATTGATACCTTTATTGAAAAAAAAAGCAAGTTAGACATTATAGTGCACACTGACATGATGCCATAGGCCTTTTAAATTTACCTCTCAAATTCATGGTACCAGAGTTAACAGTGTTCAGGACCATTAAGTAGTCAGTGAAAGCACTTTCTCAAACCACTGTCCCCTTGGGAACTTGCTTCACCATCATCCCAGGTTTGGTGGTGTACAAGCCACAAATCTCCTCACCTCAGATTTATTTCTAACCAAACAGGTGTCATAATCCCAAGTTCCTATTGCTGCCTATAGCCTGTCCCTAATGAAAGCAGAATTGCTTTGCCACTTTTGCTTGGTGAACCAATTCCAGTCTGTATACAGTCATTTTGCCTCTTAAAGTTTGTTCTGCTCCCTGCAGTGATGTCTTCAGCTGGACTCTTTAGAATTGGTTCTAAAGCTCTGCTGGAGCCAAAAAGTTCTGTTTTTGCAGTAGGCACACTAAATGTAAGTGGAGTAAGTGATGAAGGTAGTACAAATATCTCTGGAGATATAATCAATGGAGATGAAAATGTAAACACAGGGCTGCCAGTACTGCTGGGAGAGGCTCTTTGTACCTTATTTGCTAGTGATGGCAGAGAACTCACCAATGTTGGGGTTGTGGTCTCAGGACAATAAAGATCCGTGACAGGCACTGAAGAACTGGTGATTGCTACAGAGATTTTTAGTGCCAGTAATCCTTCCATTTTTTCCTCCTCAAGAGGTTTAGAAGCAACCTCTCTCATCTTACAACCTCTTCCAGATGCTGAACAAGAAACTTTAGAGATACTGAAATTTGGGTATGGAAAGCCACTTTCTGGTTGTGTATTTTGTCTGGGTATCATTATTTTTCCTATCAGCACTGTCCTTTTAATCTGTTCCTTGGCAGTATCCCTAGTTAACTAGATGGAGGCAGAGGCGCTTTAACAGAAACAGTATTTTTTCTTTCTATGGAAATTGGCCTAGGAGCTGTGGGCTTCTAAACAGGGAGACACAGAGAATCCCCTTTTGCTCTTTGGGGATTTGGGGGGATACCTGTGTATCAGTCATATGTTTCTCATTCCTCAGGAGAAAATTCTAAGAAGAAAAAACAGGCAGCATTCTTTCCACATTTCTGAAAGAATTTGACATGTCTAGAAAGTTCTGCGTTCTGCGAGGTGTAGAGCTGGTTATGTTATAGGATTGCGCCTTGAGTGGCTTGTCTTGCATCTTTCCGACAGGCACCTGATAAGGTGCATTTCATATTTGAGTCAGCCTTAGAAGCTGCTGGGCCACCACATGTTGTGCCCTGACAAAAACAAGACTTGCTGAGCTGATCTGTAGTGGATTTGAGGAATTGGTAAGTGAGGGGGACAGGGTTCCCAAGCCAGGCAATTTGCATGCTGTTTCTGAGCTGGTGGTGCTCTGTTGTATGACAGACTGAGTATATTTGACCTCTGGAGTCCCCAGAGGTGGTCATGAGTGTCTTTTGAAACCGCACCATCTTTATCAGGGCCTCTGGAAGAGCAATTAGTGATTGAGGTGTTATGGTCCTGAGAGGTAGACTGTCATTTCTGCACAACTGCCAGTTGGGAGTGTCTGAAGCCGTACTAGATGTTGAAGATGATTCTGTGTTATTGACTGCTGGCTTGGGAGCACCCTGCCCCCCATTGCTGTTACAGGTGTCCTCATCTACATACATGACAGGGTCATCTCTCTTTTCTAACCTGTGTGGTTCCTCACTTGTGTCTGTTGAGCAGCCACACACATCGTCATTATTATTGAAGTATTTCTGTAGCTACTGTGGCACAAGATGATTCACAGATTCTGAAAAGCTGCTAAGATTGCCTTAGTGCTGTGGTAGCCCCTGATGGTAAGGCCTACTATGTCTGATGGCAACGTGGCTGGTGGATCTTTCCTCTACCCCTGAGACCAAGGGCACCACTGGCTAGGACTTCTCTTCCACAACCTCCTCTGACTCCGCCTCCTCCTGCTTTTCCTTTTCTGACTGCTCCTGACTTTACCTCCTAAAACTCTTCCTCTGACTCCTCCAACTCCTCTGATGCCTGGTCTGACTCTGCCAGTTCCCAAGGCCATGCTGGAGTCTTGGTAGCTTCTCTTCTTCCTGCCCTGGGAGACCAGAGAGGGGTAGGTGGTGGCCTTAGGGTACAAGTTACTCACACAGGAGTGAGACACACAACACACCAAGAAGTCCAACAGGGAACAGAAATAGTGCAAATGGCTAGGCAGCCAAGTATCCAAGAAGCAAAGAACCACATCTGGAGAGATAAGGATCTGAGTCCAGAAGGGCTGCTTGCCTGTGGTCTCAGCTGTTTTCTCAGTTGCTATGACAATGTCCATTGCAGAAGGTCATGCTGAAGGCGCATGGTGCCTGACCATGAAGTAGTTCATGGTGACTGACCAAAGCCTCGTGGATTGCCTTCCTGGTGCAATGTATGTTTTCTCCATTCCCATTACAGTGTGAGCATTGCAAGCATCAAGCAGATGTAAAATATGCCATACTCCTTCAAAACTAGAGGAAAGGAAAAGCTGTCTGAATAAATGGTTAAAGTAATGGCTATTCAAGTTTTTGTTTTATATTCCAAAAAATCACTTTAAGGCCATGTTTTCTAGCAATATGCTTACAAGCTAGTATTAGTGTGCAAACATATTTGACTACTAAATTAGCCCTGTTTGGACATACTCAACATTTTTACTTCATTCTGAATGAGTTTATAAGTGTATGCTGTCTCAGTTACTTTTCTCTCATTACTGGGAGAAAATACCTCACACCGAAAATTAAGGAAGGAGGGGCCAGGGAGATGGCTCAGTAGAGTAAGCACTTCCCTGGCAAGCACAAGAGCCTGAGTCAATCCCCCAGTTCCACAAAAAAAGAAAAAGAAAAGAAAATTAAGGAAGGAAAGGTTCATTTAACTTGTACTTTGGAGAAGTTTCAGTCCCTACTCAGTGGGTTCTTAGGCAGAATGGCACATGTCAGAAGCAGTAGTTCATGGTGGCAGAAAACACTAGTAAGAGCCCTGTGCTTTAGTGTTTATGTATCTATTTCTAACCTCTTCCATGAACGGATGCTCTTATTCCTGTTTTAAGGTCAGAGGCTTTTATCCATTCTGCATGTAAACCACCACAACTTTTTAATAAAGGTTGACATTTCTTGGGCAGCTGTAGATGTCTGAGCCAACATGTGTCTTTAAAGGCACTGGTTTTGTTTGTGGGGGGAGTCTTTTTTGGCTTTTGTGTTTTTTATTTTTTGTACGGGGAATCAAGCTCAGTACCTAATGCATACCAGACAGGTGCTGTGCCACTGACCTATATTCCCGACCCTTTCAGGTATTAAGGGTAGGGGGTAGCTCAGCAATCTAAGCACCTACCTGGCAAGTGCAAGTACCTGAGATCAATCCCAGGTACTGCATCTGGTCCCAGCCATAGATCCTAGGAGATGCTGACCCAAAACGAGGCATGGTGGCACACACCTATAATCCCAGGGTTGGGAGGCTGACACAGTAGGATCACTACGAGTCTGAACTGCATAGTGAAGCACTGTGTCCAGTAAATAAATAAATAAATTTTTAAAAACAGGTATTGTTAGGGGCCGGGGAGATGACTCAGTGGAATAAGTGCTTCCCTGGCAAGCACAAGAGCCTGAGTTCAACCCCCGGTTCCGCAAAAAAAAATACCCAAAAAAACAGGTATTGTTAAACTGACTTTCTCAATTTGTTTTAGTTATGTAAGGAACAATGAAATAATAACAGAATAAGAAAATTGGGCTGGGGAGATATCTCAGTAGAATAAGCACCTGCCTGGCAAGCACAGGGACCTGAGTTTAATCCCCTACCATGGAGGGAAAAAAAAGAGAAAAATTATATAATGGAAAATATAGAAACACATCAAGGAAGTAAAAAGTCAGCAAGACCCACATTATTAGCATGTTAGTCAAATGTTTTTCAAGTCTTTTCTGTGCATATATATTTTTACATACTACACTTGACTTTAAATTCTAGGTCTTTTTACCATTTTAACTTAAGTTTTTGATATCTTAATGTATCGTCAAAAATAATGTACTGTAGCACATGCCAGGACATGGCCTTCCCAGCTTCTCCCACCAAGTTCTCCCAGATGCTAACGTCCTCACTTGGGTGATTTATCATTATTGCTGTCATTATAAATATTTCTCATATTTCTGGGCCCGTACTCTGTCTCTGGCCAACCTGAACATGCTTACCTTTTCCTTGTCCTGGGGAACTCTATGCTTGGCCCACCAGCTCCTATACCCCCTAGCTGGGTTGGTCTTCACAGCTCTAGTGCTGACTGCTCCACCTCTCCCTCCAGTCTTTGTGTGTGTGTGTGTGTGTGTGTGTGTGTGTGTGTGTGTGTGTGGAACCGGGGATTGAACTCAGACCCTTGTGCTTGCCAGGGAAGCGCTTATTCTACTGAGCCATCTCCCCGGCCCCTTCTCCCTCCAGTCTTTGTGCCTATTTTATAAAGTCATGGCTTTCCTCTTAATCACCCTGCCTTACTCTGTCAGGAAAGGCTGTACATAACCAACTGTCTTTTTAGTTCAGTATTTTCTTACTTTCAGCATGGGCTCTTTGAAAGGAGAAATGATAAGCAAGAACCACAGGAGAGAGTTTTATCTCCTGTGATTAGTTGTCTTCCCTGATACACATGGGAAAAGAATTCGTTCCTATTTCCCATATCTCTTTCAGGGAGTTTGGATGGTTTGTGCCCATCAAGGAGTTAGCCTGCTTTTTCTAAATTATCAAATTTGTGGTATCGTGCCAGTGCTCTTTTATTATCCTTTAGATGTCTACAGGATGAGGAGTGATGACCTCTCATTTATTCCTTCTAGATCATTTGCATCTTTACTCCTTTTCTGTTGGCTAGTGGTTGTTTTCTTGGTTAGTGGTTTTATTATTTCCTGTTTCCTTGCTTTAGATTGAATTTGTTTTTCTTTATCTAGTTTC